AAAACCAATTTCGAATGAAGTTACATGGGAAGACTTACACTATCCCAACTTTTAGTAAGCCTCCAGGGGTTAGTGAACCAGAGCAACGAACATCAGATATGCATGATGGTGAAGACTTAAAAAAAAATATGACTCACTTGAAAAGTGACTTATAAAGACTGAAGAATGGCTTGATATGGCTTTAAACGCAGGTAAAGTTCTTGCAGAAAGATGCTCTCAGCTTACTGAGACAAAGATGGGAGAATAGGAGCTAATCTTTTAGCACCATTCATTAATTTTTCAATATCAGATTCCCATCTAGATGTATCATCTTTGGAAGAATTGGTTATTCTATTTTTTTTCACTGGAGAAGATTCACTTTTTGCCTTCATACTAATCTTTTGTTTTCGACTAACCTTATCTTTTCGTTCACTAATTACTGTATTCAGCCTTATATAAGAATTTGCATCATCTTTATCATCTCCAAGATGCTTTATATAAATGATCTCATCTTCTTGTATATTAGAAGAAGAGGTATCATGCTCAGTATTTACCAGCTGTAAAGATTCCTGATTATTTTTTGAAATCTGATCAGAGATGTTGACAGATTCTAAGATTTTATACCACTCTTCAGTCGGTTCAGGAGGCCTTTGATTATCAATGATTTTTTGATATGTTGCTGCTCCTATATGATGTTTTTTACACATAATACTTCAAGCATTTAGAATATTATTTCGAGCATTTCTGATTTCTTTAATGGCTTCAGGTGACAAGCGGGTGGCATCTGATCTAAGAAATTTACGAGTACGGGTTGATAGTTTTTTATTCATAATTTGTTAATAATAAATTTACATGATACCAATAAAAAACTTGTAGAAAATTTATTCGCAACCTATTTGGCATTGGTCTGATATTGGTTTGATATTAGTTTGAAATATAAAGAAAATTCGGTTCCTTTATTATATAGCTTGCTATAACCATGATCTAAATAGGGTTGAAATGTATATAGTTTAAATATCATATTTGTCTTAAACTGATTTATTATTAGTTTGATATCGGTTTGATTCTGATTCCCTTTCTCCACATTTGAAGAAAAATATATATATATGAATAATTTACACCAACCACTTTTGTCAAAAAATTTCTGATGCCGTTTCAGAAAATTACCAAGAAAAAAATATATCTACCTTCAAGTAAATTTATATGGCAAATCTGCATATGCTGAATGAGATAAATGCTAGGATAGCTCTGGTATCTGGCAATAAACTCGGGAGTATTCCATCTAATCGATACCCACCCAGCTGAACAGAACTTGAAAATCAGCTTGCTTGTACAATTCAAGATCAAAAAATTGCTATAGAGTGTGGCAATCGACTTGCTAATAAATGCTCTGTCTTAGATAAAGACAATAAGCGCATACAACGGAATCTAAATCGATCTAATAAAGATAAAGAGAAACTTTCCAAGCTACCAACTTATAAATGAGGTTAAGCAATTGCACTTAGAGTTAGATACTCTAACATCCCAGATTACTCGCAAGGATATTTTTCTTAATGAATATAAAGACAAGATTCGTACAAAACTAAAAGAGATAAAGGCTCTCTAGTCTAAGATAAAAGCATCAGAGAAAAGACTATCTTCAATCTAGAAGGACTCATCTATGAAAGAATCTGAGATTGATTATCTTAGTGTCAAATTATCTGCCTTGAATTCTAATCTAGCTTCGAAAAATAGTGAATTAGAGCGCATGAAGAATATATTAACTTTAAAAAATGGTGAATTGGAACTAATAAAAAATGATTTGGCTGAAAAAAATTCAGAAATATGCTCCTTAGAAACTAAACTCAAAGAGCTATTGCCCTGCAATAGATTATCATCAAAACAAGTCAAAATCGGAGGTAAGACAGATAAAAAAAATAATGATAATATATCAGTTATACAGTCTCCGCCAAAGAATCTGGACTCTTTATCTCTTGCAAAATATTTTGTACATAAGCCTAGACCTGAAAGGTCATTGCTTCGCAATAAGACAGAAAATAGTCAAGTAGATAGAGATATCCAAGAATTTTTGACTCAACAAACTTTAGCCAGTTTAAATGGACAGGCACGAAGTAGCATTTCTCCCAAAATAAACCCAGAGTCATTGTCATATATTATATCTGAGATAAAGAATAATAATATACCAATAAAAGAGATTGAAGCATTACCTGTTGTGACATTAGGTGCTGGCGAAGCTTTGGTTAATTATAAGTATTAGATTCTCCCTATTGTTAAGCTT